CTACATACTCGGGTCTTCAGACTTATGCAGATGCTCTTGTTGATGTTGAATGGGGCTGTGCTATCCTTGACGAAGGTCATAAAATCCGCAATCCAGATGCCGGTATCACATTCAGCTGTAAGGAACTGCGCACCCCACATCGCATCATTCTTTCGGGGACCCCAATGCAGAATAGCTTGGTGGATCTTTGGTCCCTATTTGACTTTGTATTTCCAATGCGTCTGGGTAACCTCGTTACATTCAAAAATCAGTTTGAGATCCCCATCCGTCAGGGTGGATATGCATCTGCATCAAACCTTCAAGTGCAGACTGCTGCGAAATGTGCAGAAACTCTCAAAGATGCTATCAGCCCATATCTGCTCCAGAGGTTCAAGGCCGATGTCACATCTGATCTGCCGCTGAAAAGTGAACAGGTCATTTTCTGCAAATTGACCCAACTCCAGCGAACCATCTACAAAAGGTTCCTTGGCTCAGATGACATGAAGTCTATTATACGAGGGAAACGGAACTCTTTGTATGGGATTGACATCCTGCGCAAGATAAGCAACCATCCAGACTTGGCAGACCACGCATTGCGCTCTCACGAGGCAGACTATGGCGATGCAGAGCGGTCTGGCAAGATGAAGGTTTTGAAGGGTTTGCTTGAGGTCTGGAGAGATACTGGCCACAAGACCCTGCTTTTTACCCAGGGCCGTCTGATGCTCGACATCATTGAGAAATTCATTGGGGCGCTAGGTGGATTTAATTACCGCCGAATGGACGGGACTACTCCAATCAAGGAGCGCCAGAATCTGGTTGACGAATTCAACAACGACCCCGACATCCACGTTTTCTTACTCACCACCCGTGTGGGCGGGATCGGAGTGAATCTGACAGGTGCTGACCGTGTCATTATCTACGATCCGGACTGGAACCCATCGACTGACTTGCAGGCGCGAGAGCGTGCATGGCGTCTGGGTCAAAAGCGTGATGTCACCATCTTCCGCTTGATGACCAAGGGCACTATCGAAGAGAAGATCTATCATCGCCAGATTTTTAAGCAGTTCTTGACCAACAAAATTACCCGTGATCCTCATCAACGAGAAGGTTTCCAGCTGAGTGATCTCTATGATCTGTTCACTCTAACGGACGAGAATGACGACGAGTTGGAGACGACCAAACTCTTCAAGAACGCCGAAGTCACATACCAGGAAGAGGCTAAAGATGTCCATGGCAGCAAGAGTAAGCCTGCCCCCACTCTCAAAGAGGAAGACGACATCAACGACATCCATGGTATCGCCAAAGTTGAAGATTTCCAAAATACCGACGAAGAGGAGAAGAACGCCAAATCTTCCGAAGACCGCATCATGCATGGCATCTTTGCTCGTTCCGGCGTCCACTCTGCAGTCCAGCATGACCAGATCGTAAACGGCAAACGGGTGGTTCGCGCAGATCCTAAGATGATCGAAGCCGAAGCTCGCCGTGTCGCCAACGAAGCCGCCGAAGAGCTCCGCAAAGCCGAAGAAACCGCCCGGGCACTCCCAATCGGACTTCCCACCTGGACTGGCCGTTTTGGGATGGGGGGCCGTGAAGATCCACGGGCTGGTGGTAGCTCAGCTCGCCCTGCTGGGGCAGGACCCTCATCCTCAGACCTGTTGGCTAGACTCAACCCTGCTGCTGCCGCAGCTGCTGGACAGAGATCCAGTGGTTCTGATAGTCCATCAGCACGTATGCCACGCGGCAAAGATTTCATACCCTTAATCCGTGATTATCTTGCCTCTCAGCGTGGGCCGACTCTGTCGCAGTCGATTGTTCAGCATTTCAACCATTACTGTTCCAATCCGCAGCGTGTTGCTGAGTTCCAGGAGTCATTGAAGAAGGTTGCGACACTCGAACATGGTCGTGATCGTCGGGGTCGCTGGACTCTGAAGCCTGAATTTGCTCGGAATGCGAATAATCGGGAACAGTGAGGGGGCTTGTAAAGAAGCCGGTGAATCTGAAAACATCCCGGAGATAGAAATTGAACAAGCTATCTTTGGGGATGTTCATGTATGATTGTGAGTTTCACGAGATAATGAATGACAAATGCCGATACCCCTTTATGCAATTGCACGGTCGGGAACATGATATAAGCAGTGCATCCATTTGCAGTATCCACTAGACACATGCTTAAAACGCCCCGTGGGACGACAGAGGTAAGGTGCCGCTAAATCAAGCCACATACGTTCATACACTCTGTCAAAGAGGTACGCCAAGTATGGAAGGGCATGCCAATATTTAGGTACAAAGTACTCCGGACCTCTTGCGTAACTTATCAGAGAAAGGGGATATTCTAATAATATTTCCGTTTATTGTTTTTAGTGGACCATGTTCTATTTCTGGGACAAATGAATGGGGAAAAAATATATAGAAGCGAGGTTATAGCGAGCCGAATAGGCAAGAGATTTTCGTTTGTACAAAGTAGAAACGCGATATCACAGGATTCAGGGGAAAGGCTCCACGACATCTTGGCGTTCGTTGTTGAACTTCTTTTACTTTCTAATGTTGATAGAGTTTCGTTATTCTTCTCGATCTTCAATCTTGATGAAGTCATTTGTGAAACAAAATATAGGTTTTATCATTGTGCAACGCAAGCTAAGGGGCAAAAACACATTGATGTCAATATATGACTCAGGTTCTTCCATCAATGGATAGACAAGGCAGTGGGTGTGATCTGCACTTGATCACAATCATGACTGGCTCGGATGGTATAGCTAGTCAGGTACCCACTTGGTGACTTCCAGGATGTCGATTATAATCAGGATCCAGTGGGTTAACCCTTTGCATTTACCCCATACACAGGCTCTGAGACAGCAGCGTGGATCCTGCAAGATCCTGCACCTCAAGGTTGCCAATGTCCAAAGAAAAAGAAAAGACCAAGAGGGACATCGAGTACAGAGTCAAAAGGAAGTCGAACAATCGACAGATCTAGCAATGGTTCGCTGGTGATGACTTTTTGATACCAAGGATGCCTACGGAGTATCACATTGGACACTCGAAACAGTCCGATTGCCCTATACTCCACCGTGGAGCATGCGTTCATCGCTCTCCCATGGATCCAAAAGCATATAAATGCGTCACTTCCCCGTCAAAAATTCTACCCCTCTCCTGAAAACAAAAACATATATAACCGTCAGCTTGAAATTATCCCGAACGTATCTCTTCCACCTGCCCAAAATGAAGTTCTTCGCCACCGCTCTCCTAGCTACCGCTGTGGCCGCCATCCCATCCGAGAAGCTCTTCAACTTGAAGACCTCCGGTGCCAGCAACAGCTCCCACAATGACCTGTACCTCTCCATCGGACACGGTCTGATCAGTGATCCGCTCAACAGCGAAGCCGTCTTTGCCGGTGCCCCAGCCAGCCGTGCTGCCGCCTTCTCCTTCGTTAACGGCACCATCCTCTTGGATACCGAGACCAACTCCCCCTGGACTCTGAACCTGATCAACGTGAAAGGTAAGATAGCTCTGGCCTACCTTTGGATGTCACTATTTTCCGAATGTGGAATGCTAACGACAATGGTACCGCATAGACGTCCGCAAGGAGCGTGCCCAGATCAGCGTCAAGCCTACTCACGGCTCGAGGGGCTTCACTGTCGGCCGCCACGGCGTCGAGGGACCCAGTGAGACCTGGGACGGATGGCTGTGTAAGTTCTTATATACTCCTTTTCTAAAGCTACATGGTCGTGTCGAGTGCCAATGGCTGACTCTTTGTCTTTTTTTTAGGGTGTCCTACCGATACCGAGGCTGGCCAACTCCTCCCCAACTTGCACTTCCTCAGCAAGGCTGTTCAGGAGCCTGCTCTCCCAGCTGGATGTGATAAGATCCAGCTCAACGCAGTCCCGGCTCCCAAGAACTCTGCTTAGAGGGATTCTGGGTTTAGCTCGTAGTGAACATCAGATTGTGATTGGTTTCTAATTTTTGTGTTGCCTTCAAAATTTGGAACTTCTACTGGACTTTTCAGCGTATCTCGGCGTATACCTAGGGCTTAATTGATAATTTATTGGGTATTCTATTAGTTCTTGCTCTTATTAAGATCAATCTGATATCAATCTTTTCTACGATATACAAATCCTCTCTAGCGCACATCTAGTCTATTATTCTGTCTACCAGCGATGATAGATTCACATCTCTCCATCTCCATTCCATCTCTGATTTACCAATAGTTTTCGGGTGTCCATAAGTTGTCGTTGTATCGCCACCCCCACGTTTGGGGAGCTTCTTCGGTGGAACCGAGAGATGCCCGACCTTGGGTATGAGCTGGGTGGCGATTGTAGATCATATACTTCGAAGTTGTTGTGTATGTATATTTTCCCCTCCTAAGACTATAGTATATAGTGCATGTAGTTCTCAGGCTTAGTTGTAAGATATATTATGTGGCAGAGGACAATTAGGAGGTCAGTAAACTATAATAAAGGACTAGCTCTCATATCATTTAGGAATTATTTAGGAATTATAAGAGGTTGCCCAGGTGAAGATATATAAGACAGCTGTGGCTCCTGAGATAGAGCTAAATGAGGATATATTCAGATTACAATCAGAAGAGTCATTTGATGAAAATAGTCCACTATAAATAGCCGATGTCTCACATGCTTAGCCATGGCCTGATTGGGCTTAGCCCCGCAATACAGGTCAAACATCATCTCATTCTCTGTTTTTTTCCCTTTTACAAAGGCTCTCCAATTATCTGTGAAAGACACTCGTTTACTACCTTGAAGCGGTTTACAATCGTTGCCCCGAATCGAAACCCCACATTCCCAAGATCTAAATTAGCCTCCGGCAGATTAACAACACGTCCTTTTGATCGTCCTCTCCGTAGCAACCGAAATTGCTGGGTACCGACATTAAATCGATAAGCCTGTTTCGACACAGGCCTTTTTCTGACAAGTCACACCAGGTTGTGCAAGGGGCGTGATCTTTCAGCCCAGGGAGTAATACCTCGGTCGCTTGGTTTTTGGACCTCCGGATAATCTCCAACATTCGACATGCGGTGTTTCATTTTGAGCGTGCTCTGCACTATCCTGCTGCTAGGAACGATATCATCAGCTTGGCCATGGCGACCTTATGGAGCGCTTCTGGGCGACTCCTTGGATAAGCGAGCAGGTAATTCAGGACTCTGATCATACCATTGTGCTTGATACTGACCTACGATGCAGACACCGCAGAGACAACCGCTGAAACTTCCGAAACTACCGCCGATTCCTCCACTGCCTCTAAGACTTCTACTGGAACCACCACCGGCACAAACACCGACACAACTACCAACACCAAAACTAAAACCGGAACTGCAACCGATTCGGAGACTACCGACACTGCAACTGATTCCGAGACTACCGGCAAAACAACTGGCACGAAGACAGGAAAAAGCAAGACTACCGCCACCACCTCGATCTCAATTGACCCTGCTGCCGCTGCTGGCGGTGTGTCCATGATCACCCCCGCTTCCTCATCCACCACCTACTACAAGATCGGCCAGGATGTGACATTCGTGTGGAACTACACCTCCCTGTCGGTCACACCGTCTGCGGTCAACGTCGTAGCTTCGTGCAGTCTCAACTCGATGACATATACGCTCAGCTCCAACATGACCGTCAAGCAAACTGGAAGCGTCGTGTGGGATACTGGAAAATACCAGAAATCGGCCACTATTCCGTTGCTTACCGCATCGTATACTCTGATTATCTATGATGCTAGCAAGGACATCGGTGATGCTGCGAGCGCTGGACACCTGAGCTCGCAGAACGGTGGTTACGTCTTTGGGATGTACACCCCCCAGTCATACACCCCACTCAATCGTGAGTCTTCGTACCAATCATCCTCGCTCAAACTGACTGCTAACTTCACCAGAATTCAAGTGCGCCACCTGCAGCGGGGCCATGTCCGAAACCAGTCGGCTAGCCGTCAAATTTACCGTCGGCATGGCCGTGATTACCTTCGCTTCGTTCACCTGGTTTGCGGGTAGTGCTGGCGTCTTCGCCACTTGAGAAGCGCACACTCGATGCACTCGCACTGACTTAGCATGAACATAATTTCTTTTTATATTTTGAGGCGTTGCATTGTTGAAGCGATCTTGATTTACGATAATAGCAAGAAAACGGCGTTGCGTGAGAAGTTGACATAGGATGAGTTACTATTTTTTGGACATTTTTTTTGCATCTCATCCTTTCTTTAATCTGTTGATTTTATTAATAATTAGCGGTGGATGGTGAATTTGAGATTTCATTTTGTATTTTCGGATTTGCATACACAATACATCCTCTGTTGCATCACATCTTGGGGTTTCCCTCTGGCCCCATACATGGCTCCGGTCTTGGGAAAAGGCTCGGCAAAGGCTCAGCTGTAGGTACTGGGATTGTGTGCCTAGTACGCCAGCTTTCGCTGGTGGGTTGTAAATTTCGTGCTACGAATTAATGTTGATCCATAACTCGGATTGGAAGACATGACGCATTCGTTGGGATTTTGTTGATTGTAGGGTTGTTGATGGTAGAAGTTCCGTTGCGTGCGAGGATCGCCCTGACGATGGTGTACCTTCTAAGGGGCGTTGCTTTGGTTGGGGTCATGATCTCCTCGTTCGGATCTTGATTGTCCTTAATTGTGCTTTTGCGCGGCTTGACCTTGCGGCTATGCTTTCCTCGTTGGTATCTCCCGTTGTTACCCGTTGGGGACATGACTTCCTCGTTGATACCTACTCACCATCTCATCCATGCCATCATGATTCGACGGACACCCTCGGTGTTGGTTTCTTGAGCGACACGGGAGTGAATTCATGGCTTTCTAGGAGCTTTCGCCTTGCTACTTCGTATCCCCTTGATGGTCACTTGTCACCCCCCTATGAATTGCATATCACAGTGACGTGGTGGTAGACCTTGGCTGCTTCTCCGATTTGCATGGAATTGACTGGCTAGAAGTTGGCGTGGCCTTCATGCTGAAAATAGTCTTGACAAGAATTCTCTTGATCGCGATCAATTTGGCCTAGAGAGCTCGGCCGATAAAATTGATAGAACTAGCCGTGGACTGCATTGAAGGTTTCTTTGATAGACAGCTCGCTTGTTTCAATGGTCTTCAAGTCCCAACATTCAAATCAAAGAAAAAGCCAAGATCGAGACATGTTTGGAACGTCATGTTTATGGGCGTCTCAACTTTTTCCGAGGTTCATTGCCCCGCTTAGTTGCTGCGTTGCTTAGTCGCCATGTTGTTTACCTAGTCGTCTATATTCTACCTATACCTGTGGCCCTGGAGAACTATGCCCAAAGGGTGTCCGGAACGTTCTACCTACCTACGTGAGTATACTGTACCTTCAGGGTTGCGTAGCCCCAGAGACTAACAGCCCGCATTCTATCGTTGGTCCTCTGAAACATTTCTTTGCTTGATGCAAATTTAGTATGCACGAAGCCGTGATATTGCCTTTCGTTGTGAGTTTTGAGGCGTTCAGTTCCACTTCCCACGGGATTGTTATGATGGTTGGCGAAAAGACAAGCAAGTACAAAAAGAAGCTTGGTGTCTTGCATTTTACAATTGGGAAACAAACTTTGTCTCACAGATAAAGAAAGCCTTAGGAACCGGTAAAGCGCTTCATTGACTGACACTATAAAAGAAGCTGATCGATCTCATTCCTCTTCATCCATGAACCCAATTCTAGCCTGTCCTAATTTTTCACATTCAACATCTATCCTCAAGGAAGATATCCCGAGCCAAGAAGAAAAAGACAATGCCCTCCCAACTAGCCTGGATCTGGCCCAAAGATCCTCGCCCCGGCAACCCACAGCACTGGCCACACCGCTGGCGCCTGTTTGACGTCCTGACAAATAAAGGACCAGACATCTACGTGGGTCGAATCAACCAATCCAAAACCAAGGCTAGAAAGCCATCTTCTCAATCCCAGTCCGGTCCCACAAGACAGGAATGGTCCCGATGGGAGAATAGGCCGAGCGACCCTGACTCGGACTACAGCCCGTTCCCCTGGGTGGGGCGACCTTCGGCCGAGCGCTATGATTTCCGCACGAGGAAGTACCACGTCCCTGACCATGGGACGTGGAGTGATGTTGAATATTGCAATGGAGGAAGGGCTCGCAGGGGAAAATGGATCGGAAAGGAGGAAGTGCATTGTGTGCCGATGAGATATTGGGATCGGAATGGGGTTGAGTATCCAGCGGAATTTTGGCATGATAGTATTTATGGAAACCATAGAGACCATGGAGGCCGAGGGAATGAATGTTGAAAGAATAGGAGGTAAAGGAATGTAGGGTGTTCGGAGGGTAGTTTGCATGATATTGTGTGTGTGTTAAATCCAGCTAGATCGCTCGAATGCTTTCAACCATTTTCTTTTCAAAACTAATATGGGATAGATGGAGCCCAATGGGCTGATGTTCTTCCAAACCTCCCCCTAAATTCCAAGAATGAGTTAGGCTGATACAGGGAGACCCGTTCAATCAGACACATCCAAAATGCAACGCGTCAAAGGTGTATATACGTGGTCCATCAACAGACGGTTGATTCGACGAAGGACGGCGGAGAGTTGGCAGTTGGGCGCCGTTATCAGTCAGGCGGCTGCACTTCACACATGGTGTCTGCTTGATATCCGCATAGGAAGAGATCATATCCTGTGCTGGTATTAGCAAGTCTCTCCTTCGGAATCAGGGCTAAAACATACCAGCAAGAAAGCAAGGTCCCATTTCCGCGGGCGCGACCCCACACATCCCAATATAGCATTCTCAAGTTTCGTTGGTGACCGGCCGGCGATATTGCTCGAAACATCCCAGTCAGAGACCGGAGAGCCAGAAATCCCAGACACCCCTCTGATTTGGAAGACAACGCCTGCTCTAACGAGTGCTACCGCTAGAGAAGTCTCGTCCTGGCCTTTGATGACTCGTACACCGGGCATATCCCGCTGAATGAATCGTTCCAAAACTTTCTGCCACTCGCCCTCAGTAGACTGCGCTTTAGTACGTTCGGCCTCTTCGTCTTCTCGCTGACGCTCATCTACTATGGACTTTTCTTTTCGTGCAAGCTTTTCTAGAAGAACGTCGTAATCCCTTTCCCACTTTCCAGTCGGTTGAATTAGCTGACCGTTGGCTTCCTTGATGCGTGATTCAACATGTGCCCAGACGGATGTCATTTCCGGATCCCGCCACAAGGACTGGAATTGCTGGACATCAGCGACGCGTGCGCGTGCCGCCTCATCCAGACTAGCCCGGAGGATCCGTGGAGTTTCAGCGACTGGATTGCCGGGCGTCACTTTATCTGGGTTTGCAATGGGCACCAGAGGCTCTAGTAAGCCCTGGGGCATGAATCCACGCAGTTCATGGATCTGGATATCTCATTAACTTGGTTTTGTGGCAGAGCTGCTTATGTACTTACCTTGCGTTCGAGTTCTTGTAGTTTTGCTAGTGATGAAACAAGTTGGATCTCTGAGTCCAGCCCTGAGGGTTCGCCGTTGCCGGTCGCCGGCACTTGCATAGAGTTCTGATTGGTAGTAGCCATCGCCGAGGCGGTTGAAATGGCTTTTTTGTGAGAGACTTGATCAATTGGTCAAATCTACCCCCCAAACACGCGACTTTGGGGTTCAGTGAATGGATTATATATAGATATTTATTTGAATAGGTACCTGACTCTCGAAATGAACAATCAAGGAAGGTGGAAGACAACGGGATATTGCAGTGATTGTTTTGTGGGCGATGAGATCACCCTGCGTTGTCTGTTATATAGTGGAATATCAAGACGAAAATGTCCGGAGTCGAATAAGAGAATATTTTTGATGGTCGATCACAGATAATGATATTTTGTTGCTTAAAGGTGCTCCAATAATTTGGGGATGAGAGGATGAGAGAGACGAGATGGGCGGCGAACCAATCAGGTAAACTCCAGCCACATCCACCTGTGCCACAAGTGGCTGGGTTAATACTTACGTAATATTATTTCTATAACTCGTTACCTAGACCTCACCTTGGAAGTGTTGTTTCAATTTCAGTTCCTTTGGATTTTGATAAAGATAATATAATTTAAGAGGTCTTTAATTCCTAGTTATTGTTTTGAACTATATCAAGATCATACTACCTGTGCTTTTGACCCTTGGTAAACGGTCTTACTCTGTGTGAGTCCAAGTTGAAACAAGATTTTGTTGATGAACTTGTGTTTTGAAATATTGAGAACTACTGACGTTACAGAATGTTCTAGATGCAAGAAACCTCAGGACCATCTCCTAGGTAGAATCGAACCTCCTTTGTTGGCCAGTGAAGCTATAGAGACTGGATAAAATAAGTCTTCAATTGTCTCACTTCTGCAAGCTTCTTTGTATAATGAGCTCTCTAGCACGATCTCTCGACCTTGTCCGGTCTATAAAAGCTCCTGAATTTCATGTTACAATGCCTCTCTACATAACTCACTAGCCCTCATCCGCCTTCATCATCAATTAGCAGGACAAATTTCAGACTTTGAATTCATCATGGACACCACATGCGAGGGATCTCAATTGTTGGGCATACCTGGTAAGGCGGCTCAATTTCTCAGACGCTCGTCCCGCATTGCGGCGCAAATAGCGGCCAGAAAATCAGAAAATCAAGCCTCGAGCGCGTGCGAGCCCAGCCAGTCCGACTCTCACCAAGACCTGGCTCCAAAGCACGACTGTTTCGCGTGTGACGAAATCATATGCGACAGCTGCAGGGTGGCATTTGATGACTGCATTGAAGTATGATCGACTTGCAAGAATAACCTTAGAATTTCCGGATAATACTAATCAGATTTAGATGATCGACAAGCACAATGCTTGTGTTGCTGCTGCAATGAAGTTGACCGGGAATAAATTCAGGGAGGAAATTCGCATGATTCTCCGAGAGAACAAGGAATGGATTCGTGGGCTGAAAAGCCAGCAAAACCGAGAGGGCTAGTATGCCCAAGGAGGACTATGCCGCGGAGACCTTTGAGGAGATGCCAATGTGTTTTCATCGATCCTTGAGAAAGTGGTTTGTCGGTATCGATATATATTGCTCGTCAATTGATGTGGACTTTTTCGAGAAAACAACCGACATTGATTGAAAGTATGTGCCAGCCAGGCTAAGATTGCACGAGGAGAACTACACCGAAGCTATCAATGTGCGTCTTCAAGACATTAGCTTGATGTTCAGTCGGGGACATGTATCTTGAGTAGAGCAATGAGAAGGCTGTTAGTGCTGAAATGTAGAATGTGTGAACATCCATCCGGTACTAGCCTCCTTATTAACTGTCATGTTCTTGGATTATAATCCTTGGCGGTGGCTACAGGCAGCAGCCCCTGAGCAGAGCCTCAAAAAAGTGGGGTATAAAAGGCTCGGCCCCCAAGGAAGAAAAAAAAAAGACATTTTCAATATTCCCGTCTTTTGAAACCACAACAATGGCAGACCAACATATCCCAGAAGGCTTCCTCCGGGTGCCAGCCACAAACGCAACCCTTCACAAACTCGACTTCGAGCATACATCCCCACCGATCCCTTCATACAAAGGTCGCTTTGCTGCTATAGTGGACAACTTCATGACTGAATCCGAATGCAAAGAGCTTCTCCGCCTAGCAGAAAAATCAACAAGAACTCACCTGCCAGATTCTACCCTATCACCCCCAGTATGGGAACAGGCGATGATTAACGCCGGCGGGGGTAGACAAGTAATGTCCGTCGACTCGCGCAAGAGCGGACGAATTATCTTAGACTCTCCCGATCTCGCAGGCAGAATCCTGGACCGACTCCTGCCTTTTATGCGTGAATGCGAACTCGACCATATCCAGAGCAAACCACTGGTTACGGGTCTTGGGCCAGCGAAACGGGGCGAAGTGCTCCGTCTCAGTCGGCTGAATGAGCGTCTTCGATTCCTGCGTTATGTGGGTGGTGATTATTTCCGGCCTCATTGGGATGGGTGTTTTGTTACTCCCGATGGGCGGGAGAAGTCACTTTATACTATTCATTTGTATTTGAATGGAGATGGGGAACAGGATATGGAGGAGTTGAAGCTTCATATTGAGCGGGCGGAGAAGACGAATTGGTTGTTTGCAAATGATGGGGAGATTGATCTTGCTGAGATTGGGTCTGAGGGAGTCCAAGTGGGTGATGGGAGTTGCACTTCGGCCGCGGAGTCATTGGAGAACAGTGAGGCTCTTCTAGGTGGTGCAACCTCGTTTATGGCTGGGATAAGCTCGAAGGAATCGGTTCGGATCTTTCCAAAGACGGGGTCTATTCTCATATTTCAGCAGAGGGACTTGATCCATTGTGGAGATGATGTGTTTAGAGGTGTGAAGTATACCCTACGGACGGATGTCATGTATACTACTGAGTAGAGAAGAAGTGACTGCCCATTCAAAATCCCATTTTGCCCCCACTTTGGGGATTAATTACCAAGAAAGAGAGGTTTCAGTCCTAAACTGGATTTCCTGTAGACTGTGGGTACATACTGCTGTTCCTACATGTGGTCTATAGTCAGCGGCAAACTGGCGGGCTCGGCTTAGCTCCCAGCCTTTGCGTGGTTTATGTTGGCAAATCAATCTTCCAGGTAGCGAAGCCCAACATGAGGTCATGTCTAAATATATCCATCTCCCATGAAGGAAGTGGGGAATTTACCTCGGAAGTTTCCTCTAGGCTCGTTCATCATGAGACCGATGCCGACAACGCCATATTCATGACGAGCAGTGTCCACGGTAACAAGCGTCTTGTGCACTTCCAAGGTGACCTTTCCGGCAGGACGCTTAACGGACCACCAGTCCTCCCCCGATGTCACCCCCCAAGAACATCCCCCGGATCAATGCGAATGTCGTTCCTCGGATCGAAAGTACCGATACAGGGTTCTGCAAGATCGCTGACCGTGCCCCCCTCAACGCGCATAACTTGGTAAATCATATGTCATCATAGAGAATAAATTTGCCACAGGCCAAGAAGAAACGGCTCCATGTACATGATGTTTTTCTCATGAGATTCCACATCGATCTTTCAAGAAACACGTTAGAGAAGGCTTGCGAACTGATTTTAAAAAAAGCGATTCCTCACAACCTAAAAGTCCATTAATGAGCGATTAATGTAGCCGACCATCAAAGGTATCCGAGCAGAAGAGGGTGCAAAACACGGCAAAGCGGGGAGAAAAGTGGACCCTGCCCCGGATTACTCCAAATCCGTTCATTTTCGAATGTCTGCATTATCCCAATCTTTGCTGGTAAAATAAATAGAAATGGTCACCTGCACTCGATTTGGGCCTCAACCAGAAGATGGGACGCCTTTCAGTAGAAGAGATGCCCCGGATATGGAATGTGGTCCCGGGGAGGCGGTATGTGGGCTATTCATAAATGCCCTAGCAACTACGGAAGTTCCGTATGTAATGAATTTCATTTGGCCTCGGCCGCATCTATCATTCTCCGTATCATTCCCAAGGTTCCCGAGCGTGGCATGGAAATCGTGGCATAATTGTGTCACAGGGTCCAAAATTGTTCTCTCGAAGTCAGGCCATACAATATCATTACTTTGCATGAAAGAATATGACACTGGATCTTCAAGCGATCGGCAGTCTGACCACATTCGCGAGGTGAACCTACAGGTATACTAGCGCTTGATTGGTCGGGTTTTGAAGATGTCTTAAAGGCATCTTGGGAGCCATGTGGAGAAATAAAGTAGAAATAATAGAGAAGAATGCACGAATCATAGCTGGTAGGGGCTGTTTCACTTCCACTTAAGTCCGTACATAAGTTTGAGACATGGGTGTGGAGTACATCTTCCTAGTCTTACCTATTCCGGTTGTTACCTGACTTGACGTTACATCCTTGTAGTTCTATTTCAAGCTTGACGAAATAACTCAATCTGAGCTCAATTGTTATGATATTTATACTATAATGCAAAATACTTAAATAGCTTCCTTCCTCCCGTATTGTCATCTTCATCTTCATCTACATCCTTCAAGCCCAAATAACCAAGTCCTCAACCGCTCAACCACCATCATGCAGCTCACTCAGCTCCTCATCGCTACCGGCCTCTTCGCCTCCTCAGCTTTCGCTGCTCCAGCTGATACCAGCAGCAAGTCAATGATGGCTGCCGGCCCCCAGTGGACCCTCCAGAACACCAAGCGTGTCTGCAACGCCGAAGACACCTCCTGCACCTGGACTTTCGGCATCTACCCTGGCGCCGGTGACGCTACTCCCTGCACCTATGTCGTGAATGGCACCCCTGCTTCCCACGCCAACGGCGGCCCTGTCACCTGCGGCAGATACACCGTCACCTCCGGCTGGAGCGACCAGTTCGGTGCTGAGAATGGCTTCACTACTCTCTCTGTTGTCAACAACGAGTCTCGCCAGATTATCTGGCCTGCCTATACCGATAAGCAGGTTGCTGCCGGTAAGGTCGTCAAGCCTGACCAGAGCTACGCCCCTGTCGCTCTCCCTTGAATCAAGATGAAAAAGATGCATCGGAGTATGAGCTGAACAGCTGAACACTATACATATCAACCACTGTCCTTAATGATAATATATGACGAGCAATTGAAGATATTCTATCTATTATCATATACACTCTATACTTAGGATTGGCTGTAGGAAAGAGTATAACCGCGTTGCACCTAGAACAAGCTTGCTTTTCATACTTTAGCCGTGCTATATAAGAGAGGAGAATTGAGACATGAAGATGATTTGACAAGCACAAAAGTAGCGTCCGATCTGAATAATTGCTGGGTTTCACGCCCCAATTGGGCCAAGGCCTCGATACTCAGATACACCTTCTTCTACCCTCCATCCGTTCTTCCACGAATACATCTAGATTGTTTCCCTGGTAGATAATTCATTGTGTACCATTTCCTAGAGGTTATCAGCTATTTTTCTACTAGCAACGACCACTAGCAACTGTTTTCTTTGATGCTTATCCTAAACTCAATCAATTTACTGTCACCTTGGTATTATGCAAATAGATCCGTTACACATGGATAAGAACAAGATCTGCCATTCTGACTGCTGCTAGCTAGAAAAAAAAAAAAGAAAAGAGATAGATGAGCAATCAGCAGCAAGACAAGGAATGGAGAATGACAAGTCCATCTCTGTTGATGAATAGAGCTAGCCCAATTACGCCAAAGCCACCTGTAGCAAATGCCAGTTGTGATTACCAAGATTAGCCCCATACCATGTTTTCAATCTCGTTGCCCTAGGAGAGAGAGAGAGTCTGCATTGTCCATCTCTTCGTTTCCCTCTCGGTCAGGCACCAACCATAGAAACTCTGGCATCTCCCTGGCCGTTGTGCCCCTTTGCACTTGCCTATTCTTATCTGGCCATTATTATAAATAAAATTGCGAGATAAGTAAGAAAACAAAAAGCAAAAAAAAAGGAATTCCCGACAGGGGGGTCGACCCGAACCTTGTGGTACGAGATGCACTTAAATTACAGCCACGCAGATCACACTTATTTTAATTATAGAATATCATTCATTTGCTGTAAAATCATTCTCATTCATACAATGTGCAATCCGTAGACAAGGCTCTTAGTTCACCTTTCTACTTACAGGAATTCTGCTCTTGATTAGCATAAACCATTCACTTTAAACAACCGCCTCCATTATAAAACGTTGCTTGTACTTACACAGCACAATGTGATACTTCCCGCCCCGTTGCAGGCCGTGGGATGACTAACTTGATTTTAGCATAACTTTATATGTAAATCAGAAGTGAATGGGGTTAGACTCACTCTCCAGGACATTGATCCGGATAAAAGACCGTCTAATTTAAACCATAAACATTAGCGAACTCTTAAACCATTCGACTTTTATCGTAAGCATTGAAGGTCGACAATATACATACAACGCAATCAGCCTGTTGGAGATGTGAGTGTTAAGATTTCTAACATTAGAATACAACTTGGTTATACATACCTGTGCGGCTCGCGGGCTGACCGGGCCTTCGTCAAAAGGCATAGCATATACCACGGCGGCAAGGAGAGGTAGGATATGCAGGAAACGCATTTTTGCGGCTCAAACCGAACTTATGAATGGTATGTTGAGATAGTACCGAAAATATAGTGCATGTATTGGGATGAATAGGGTCTTGCAAAGATATTGATATTATTGAAGTTGTACCAGAAGTTGAATTGTGAATAGGTTGGATCTCTTCATTCAAGGAATCTGAAGCTGTATTTATGGATTTCATTTCCACCCCTGTCGATAACCCCTCAGTTGTTGAATTTGTAATAGAAAAAGAAAGAACGAGGATTGACAGCGATTTACATCGTTTGAAGCCGACTGAATGCAGCCCAAATAGAAATTTCTGATACAACGCACTTTTTATGTAGGAAAAGGCGTAAGTAAGCCATGCCGGACATGTCAGACTACACCGGCAGTGATAATCTTTCCTCTATAGGAGATCAATATTCTTGGCGAGTTGTGATACTGAATTAGGGTTAGCATTGATCTAGTTTCCATGTATTATCGCAAATCAACTGGGATTCTTAACATGGTAAGGTATAATAAAATGAATGATATTTTCCTCCACAAACCTTTAAGCCACCTAGTACGGAGTATATTACTACACAATATTGAATCAACTCAACCTAATTTCCCTCCCGCCTCACCACCAGTTGTCTCCATCAGCCCGCCAAATATGCTCTCCAATGACAGGGACCTTCCCAAACTCATCAAGGGCATGGAATTTGAGATACAAATTTTCATTCAAAAAGAAAGGCATACTGTATCTCGCCTTGGTGCTGGAATTTACAACCCAATGAGGCGCACCGCGGTAGCTGCTTGGTAGATTGAAGAGTGTAGTAGAGTAGCCGTAAGGGCGCAGACAGATTAACCGTCAGCTCATCAAATACGTCAGTTGGGTAGTTCCACCGACAGGACACAGTGAGTACATACAGGTTCTCGGAAAGGTTATAGGTTCTCGCCTCCTTAATATCTGGCAATAATCCATCCTTATGCACTGGCAGAGCAGGCGGCTCGTTGCCATAGAAGGACCATCTCATGGCCCCACCAGTCCAGGTATCCGTCTTGAGTCAAATAGCTATCATCTGTCTTTGGTCCCCTTCTCCACAAATTCTAGTTAGATCACTGTCTGCAGCAGGTCAACTGGAAAACGCGACTTTCTTGTCCAAGTTCCCATCGATACATCCACCCTGGGATCCTGGGATTCAATTCGTAGTTCACATATGGGACCATTGTCGTCAGAGGACCAACACTTGCCGCACATCCCAAGAGTTCCGAGGATATGGTGGAGATACCACCAGCGCCTTGGTGTTTCAACCAAGTACCCAGGAGGTGATTCGGAGAATCATAAAGAAGAATCTATTCGTTGACGCTGGAGATGTGTACCATGCCCCCTGAGCAAACTGGTCAGTTCAGTCGGGAGCGAAAGGTGTCAAAAGGCGATGCTAAGTATCATTTAATTTAAGTCTACTTAGGTGTACCAGCTATAAATAAACCAACTCCTAACTCTATTACCATCTTACTATGCATGGGGGAGGTGGACATACATTTGTCCTCAGCGAAATCTTTATCAGATTTTCGGTTTTACTTGGCTTGCTAGTAGACTTACAACTGGTAACAAGTACAGCTTGCTATTTAATCACATTGCTAGTAGTAACAGCAGTTCAAGTGATCTCTCAGGATCAGGTTCCATAAAACTTGCATATATATGAAAAATAATCTCAAACTCAACCGGAATACCTGAAGTGTTTATTTTGAATATCCGTCTGGTCTCCGAGTCCAGACAATATAGTCAGCCCCTCCGCGCTACTGACATACTCGGGGTTTTCCCGAGCGCGCGATTCTCGGCGATTATTCTCCAATCGCATGGAAACCCATGTGGTCATGGAGAGAGCAATATATATCGAAAGACATCTATTCGAAATGTTAGCTTCATACATGAGTAGCTTCGAAGTAGGAAACCCCACGCTAGCACAAACGCCAACCCAGTATGATATTGAGGGCTTTCCTCGCCCAGGAAGGTTTGAGGTGTCACAATATTGGCGACACAGTAGAGGAAGAAGGCGGCCGATGTGACTGTCTGTTTCCGCGTAAATCCTACAAAATTGGCACCAATGATAGACATGATCACTGTATAATTGACACCGGAAGCTGAGATTATAATGCAACCTGCGAGTCGACGGTTTTGGTACTGGTGCTCGGGGGGAGTCACGTATAGAATAATAATACCGATGACGCCAACGATACTGGCTAAAACTGCAAGTGGCTGCTTCTTGTTGCGGAAAAAGACGAAGAATGTCGGGGGACCAGAAACAAGCAGTTGCACGATGGCCTTGGGTATCTTGTTAGTTTTCAACTTCTAGGTGATAAAGGAAGGGGTTCTCTACCTGAATAGCGTAATTGGGGGCGGTATATAATTGTGCTTTCAGTGCAGTGTACCCAAATCCCTGGCCAATTAGTCAATGGGGAAGTGGGTAGGACATTCGTTTAGGTATTACCTTGATCACAATGCCGAGAAAGTTGGTTGTCACACTCCCTGCAGTCTGGGAGAACAACATCTGTAAGATTAACAACCACGCATGTGGGTCTCTCAATGTTTCCTTCACCTGTTCCCACTTAAAATGTGCTACCAGCAGTAGATCAGTACTTAGTACCAAACGGGCTACCGGGTGGCTTACTGTTTTTAAGCCCAAGTTGGGCCTGGGCAACGCGCTTGACAGCTATAGCCCTTTCTCGCTCACTCAGCCATTTTGCAGATTGGGGCGCATCAGGCATGAAAGTAAACTGGACAAATTAGACCGGAACTGTTTGCTTCAAAAGTTGTAAAATGCACATACCATAAGTACCCCTGTCAAACTGCTCAGTAGCCCAATGGTGAGGAAAATTAGCCGCCAAGATGTCTGGAAAAGTTAGACATAGCAAAGCACAGAGACATTGGTGAACTTACTATGGGCCCTGTTGTAACATGTCCGAGTCCTGAAGTTTAAAGTTAAGTGTATTGCAAAAAGAAAAAGGGATCTGGTGGTATACAGACCATAGTAAATAACTAAGAAGGGCACCGGAAGAGCACCGTTCGTCATTGTCCACAAGCCAAAGCGGAGAGGCTGTTCCTCTTGTGTATACCTTTTCTCATATTAGCACGAATGGGATATTGTGAGATAACCCACTAACCACATGGTTGTGCTGAAGAACAAGGCATTAGCTCATGGCTCATATCAATCCAGAGTATTGACGACATACACAAGCAACAGTCCAGGAACAAGGCATGATTCGAAAAGCCTATAATTGATTAGCCACAGATCTCATTGCGAATGAATGAACAAGCTATACCCAAGAAGAAACCTCAATACCATCAATGAAGCAAAGTTCGTGGCACCAATACACCCTAGCAAAGCACCACCCCAAATAAATAGGGCCACTCCCATAAACCTTCCAGCATGGAAATATTGCAAGCCTCGACCAGAGAAGAAAGACCCAGTAAGGTATCCAAAATAAAATATCTGTCCTCACTCCTATTAGGAGTCTTGTCTTTGAGAGGGATCAAGTTGGGTAGCCATACAGAAACACACCAAGAGTACTCCTGACCAACGAGGTGGAGGTCATCGCGAAGACCATATGTGGCGGCGGCACCGAGACCAGACTATGATATTCGATCAGAATCCATGAGGTAGTAGGAAAGGCTGATAAATACCTTGTCCACAAATTGTAGACCGCAAGCCCAAGCAGCGAGAGGAACGATGCGCCAATCAATCTTTCGCAAGAGCTTTCGATGCTCTAATTTGTTAGGCCGGTTGAGATTTCTAAGGGGCAAATACTCACCCTCTGCCGTGTATTCAATCTCATCTGGGTCCATTATTACCTGGGCAACAGTATCAATACTGTCATCACTTCCATTTTCCTCACCCGTGGGGGTTAGAGAGATATTCTCTTTCACTTCGTCCATATGCTCCCTTGACTGTGCCATCGGAGTAGGCTGTGGGAAAGACATTGTGACTAAAAATTGAAGAGCAGACAAATTTGGATTATCGTCAGGCTATTGGATATATAGGGGAAACTAGATATCATCTTCACAATATACGTGTTTAACTCTTAAGGCTTGCCTACCTTAATGATCACCTGAATTGGAGTCCGGTCATTTACTTTTCCAACCGGTGTCTAAATTTATTAGGCGGAGATCGAGAGGCGTTTAAGCCTTGGCATCTTAGATCGGCCATTTTAGTAGGGCTATGCTATTAATCGACCTCTTAGCATATTTGTAATAAGATTTTGCTGTCAAAAATCTGGGGAGAACTGACCCCAGGAATGCGGGGAACTAACAGCTAAAGGCCACTAATAAAAGCCGGTCATTTTTAAATCGAAAATTGTTCGAGCGTTAGGCAAGACCTCATACTTGAGAATGGTGGATTTAGGAAATAGAGACCAAAGGTATACTACAATAGTAGAAGGAACTACTAGTATCTTCAAGAAGCCTGCTAAGATAATATATATATATATATAGTTGTAAAGCACATGGCACTATTGTTAGCATTAGTCTCAAGGCAACTTTACATCGACTACATATTTAATACCTTCGGCATTGCAGATCTATTGCAGCGATTGAGTGGATCCGGAACATACTATGTATTCGCTTCCCGGCCTACCATAATGAATCAATTCAACCACGTTTTCTGTGTTGCTCAATACCATTCATCTAGACTAAATCGCGCAGAATATAGACCGGATTTTCCACTCGACAGAAAGGCACTTTTAGTTGAAGTTTCCCTTTGACGACTAAGCCGGAGATTCTTGAGGCTATGAATGAGAAGGTTCCAATATGGTACCCATGCAGTCAATGGCTTCAACACGGGTAAATTGCGAACGTTGCGCTATATCTGGCTGGCTGCCGCGCTTCTTTCGTGACTGGAAGTGCACTCTTTGTGGGAGGCGGATATACCCAGCGATAGATGGTGTGTGATGTACTCCCTAGGGAGCTCAGTGAGCAAATCAGAGCGCTCAGATCAGGGTTAGTCCCAAGTGAGAGTCACCTGGGAAACCCAACTTATATAATAAAATTTAAGGCTCCCACGTTCCAAGGTTAATAATATCATTTCCAAGGTTAGAAAAGGATTCTCCGAAGCTCAATCCCGTTTCCCCCACATGGATAGTAAATGTAGGAAACTTTATTCTCAGGTATGAAGATCCTATTTGTTTCTCTCTCTGTTCAACAGCTATAAACAAAAACGCAATGTGATTTCATTATAGGACACCTAGTATCCACCTGCGCACTCGCCAGCTTGATCCCAAAGCAAAGAACAAGGTCATTAATTCGCTTTCCACAAGCTCTTCACATCCTTCTTGACTGGTTTGAGGAGGCCTTTAATCTCCATCTTGAGAGCTTTCTTGTCTTCTTTGGTCCACATCCCACTCCGCTTCGCGGCTCTGAGATCCCGGACGTGGCTTGTGAGTAGGTTCGAAATATTCTCCACCGTGCACTTGGTACACTTCTTCTCATCGGTGATATCATTCAGTGCGGTTGCCAATGTGCGGATAATGTCTTTTGCCTGTAGCTTCTGCAATTCGCGGTCGAGAAGCGGGACTTGGCTGGGTCCATGGGTTACGCAATCCACCTTGGGGCTTGTACTAATGGGGATTGAGTAAGCAGTTGCCCAGTCCCGACAATAAATAGAGTTGTGCGGGTAACTTCTCGAACACTCACAGTTCTTGCTCTTGTTTCTCAGCGTTGTCCACCTCGACAGGGTTAACAGAGGCGTAGGATGGTGCCTGAGTGTATTCGGTTTTGATTTCGGTCATTATGTTAAAGATGATAGTTTTGGTGAAAGATAGTTGAGATAGTTTCTTAAGAAAGGGCTTCTTGGTTTGTTGGCTTTTGATATTCTAGCTGACTGGTATTTATATCTACACCTCTTATGGTATGCAATGTGAGGTTATCGAAATGGGCAAGTCCGATAACTCCGATAATTACCGGATTGGGTCCTCGCGCAATGTCCTCGGGGATTTCTTTTGCTGTTAATGTGGTGGCTTTTGGCGAGATTATGACGATGCCTTGGGCTGCATACCCTTTTTTTTTCAACCTCCCCTGAACAGTTTGTGTTACGCCAAAAGTCCATGTGTAGGTGTACAATATAAGTTTAGCTGTAAAACAAAAATGAATATCGTAGAGATCCAAAATGGCACGCTGGACAAGACATTGGCTGAATCAACACAACAGAGGTCACCCAAGGTCTCCGCTGAGCGTGAGCCTTGTAGTCCTACCTAGGAAGATCTGGGTGGGTACCAAGTGCGACATGGCCTATGAAAATACTGTAACCTAGCTAGGCATCCCTTCCACTGCCCCTCCGGCTGTCGAGATGCTGAAGTCGCAGATCACCCGCAAATTGAAGCAACCACGATCCGTATTCACATGGTTCCACGCACTTGACTCCATACTGAGTTCTAAAATTGATAGCTTCACTAATATTTCATACAGCGGAAAAAGGTCATATATGTATTGCCAATGCTTTTTTCAGCCCCTTAAGGTAGTTTTTGGTTGTGAATCAATTGGCACATTGGCTTTTGTAATAGAAGTTCAAGTCAGCAAATTTGGGGGATATATACAGTCTTTAAATTCGAAGTACCGATTCCAATTTTAGCTCCGCTAATTCGGATCCTTTCTAATGTAAACAGAAAGCCGAGACACTGTCATTGACGTCTAAATCGTCTATTATTGGCCAGCATGCACAGTTCATTCCTCGGGAATAGCCTCGGAGAAAACAGTATATTTACCAATAAGGATATAAATCCGCCCGGAGCTTAACCCGAGCCCCATCACTTGCCCGAGATATCTCATAATATGTTGGAAACTCAGACTATTCATGTCTTGAGGTGTCTCGAGATTGAACCTTTCCGTAAATATGTGGATCTCTCTTCTTTCTCACCACTTTTTCTTCCCTTTTTACCCCGGCTCTTAAGTTTAGCCCTGCTTCGCCTGCCACCTTGCCATATCCCCAGGATAATAACTTCATTCTTGCAACACCTCATTTTATGCCTCTTGGCCCATCGACTCTCCATGCTTTATCAAGAAAGGCTTAACCCCACTTACCATGTTTCGCTCACTACTGGCCATCACTGGCAGACGCCCAAGATACATATTTCCTGAAGTCGACCCGAAAGTCGACGGAGACGACTGCCGCACCGACTGCAACGAATGCACTGTGAAATACCCTAGAAATACGAAGATCGACACGACTCTCCCAATGTACGGATTCATCAAAGAGTTCCACGCGCACGTACTCGTTGCAACGGGGAAAACGGATTGGATCCAGAAGGTCGAACAAGAGGAGGGGAGTCTAATGGAGGCATTCAAATCGGACGCAAAGTCCAAGCATGGTGTTTGTTTATTTGGTCCGGCAGCAAAATCTTGGGAATATGCTAATTGTGTACAAAAAGCGTCTCATGATCTCTGCGTCGAATCTCACTCCACCAGGTGGAGAGGTACCTGGCACTCCCAAGACAACAGTCCTCCTGCTACCGTCATTTATCTTTGTGGATAGCGTTTCTTACTCAGATGCCCAGCACGTGGTCGAGACTTTCATTGACATGCCACCGGGTAATCCAACCCAATCCATTAGCAGTCCACAGTTAAGTTCCCGGCCATGTCCACATGACTACGTGGTCCTGCTGTGCTCGCACAAACGGCGAGATGCGCGCTGTGGAATTACAGCACCGTTGATCAAAAAGGAGATGGAGCGACATCTGCGCGGACGTGATCTTTACCGAGATATGGATGATGAGCGACCTGGAGGCGTGGGAATTTATTTTGTCTCCCATGTTGGGGGACATAAGTTCTCTGCAAATGTGCTGGTTTATCGGAAGAAAGAGCAGCAAATGATCTGGTTGGCTAGGGTCAAGCCGGAACATTGTGAAGGAATTGTGAATTACACAATCCTAGAGGGGAAGGTTGTTCATCCGGATTCCCAGCTTCGAGGGGGATTTGATAGAATGAAAGGATTAACAAGCTGGTGATGGCTAAACGAAGATCCGGCTTAGTGAATTGGGTTACAGTCTTTATCCAATATATACACACTACAACAATTATTGCAAGGGCCCCTAGATAAATTTCTAGCAAAATGATGCATATAATCCGTTGACTATATTATCTCCACATATGTCTACATATTAGAACTGTCCTGGATATGAAAACAAGCCAATAAGATGATAGTGGTCACGGGGATGGGGGTTTCTTTCTGTCAGACAAGATATGGGGCTTCTAGGCATACAAAGGGACCTTGGCTTTGTGTATGGTGCAGTCGTAAGATACGCTGTATTTGTTCTCACACTTTCCAACATTTGAGGTTAGAATTTCCACACTGGGCCTTGAGACATCGTGCCCAGGACAGAACTTAGAAAGGCATTGGATGGGCAATGAAGAGGAAGAGGGGTCAGAAAAGCATACCCCGTCCAAGTCGGGCAATACTCCGAGTGTCTGGGATGACTTGATAAAGTGCACGAGATAGTATTCCACCGGATTCCAGTTTCCGTTTATTTTGATCCAGATATCTAGCCCACGCGCACGAAACTGGTGCGGAACAACCCAAGGTATCGGCGCAGAGTCTCATCGAGTATGTATTCACAGAGAAGCTAGGCTTCGGCGTCCTTCGGCAGGGTGGGTCATTCTCATAGCCCAAGTGTAGTGCACGATATATGTGACGTTCGTGGGTATATTCTGATGATCTTAGAGGCAGGGACCAATATTGGGTTCAGATGAATCTGTCTCCGTAACATCCCTTTTTGAATCCTCTTCATTTAGCCGCCCTCCAGAGAGCAGGGCTTGATATTGTCGAGCGATTGGGTCTGAAATGTACACCCTATTCAGACGAGTTTGTGAACACTCGGTTGCTCAGCAAGGGGGGCCACAATGAAAGACCCCAGGCATCTCGTGGCGAGCACGAAGAGATTTGATCGACCTGGCGCGGCACTGGGGCTGAAAAGCCACTGGTTTGCTTTTGGATCAACGAGTCCATTACTGTTTGGTGAGCCGAAATGTCAGCCGGGACCTTGTGGAAGACAAGCGGGATGATGATATCGAGAAGGTAGTGCGTGAGTATGTGTCCCCGGTTCAACATTGGTAAGCACCAGTATAAAAGAGTCGAGACCGTATTGAAGAGCTAGACTTCTCCTGGCCAGTTGCGTTACAGCCTCAGTGAGACCTGTAAAGTTAAGGAGATTGCAGTGCTATGTCTTTTGTCTAACGTCATTTCTGGATTTATCTCCCCCTTACGAGGCCAGCTTGTTTCTTATTAACCTAGTATCATTTCTACCAATGAAGTCAAGCATCATACCAACCACCATAACTCAAGTGAATTGAATACTATTTGAAACAATAGGCATAGCAGCATTGTAAATAAAACTAAACTTCATCGAAATGGATTCTCTAACAAACCCTCTGGGCGACTTGGAAACAGGCCAACACCAAGATCCAACTACCATCTGATAACCTTCGTGGGGAAGTACTCATCAATGAGCTCCATGTAGTAAGGCTGTTCAGTACCACATAAGTTAGCATATGCCGCAGTATAGTCTAAATGCCTAAGGGCCAAGTTTACCTTCAGCTTCTCGGGATCAGGGAGCTCATCGCTCTTGCTGTACAAGTCGTAAGGGTTGAAGGCCCTCACAGCTTCCAGCATCTTATGATCATGTTCATTCATCAACTCATGATATGCGCCCTCTCGGTGCCACGGGTAGAACGAATGGTACCGAATCATTGCCAGGCCCTCCTCGGGAATGGTAGACTGATCTTTGACGATATGGTAGAGGTATTCATCATGGCCCCAGCAGAGCATAACGTTCTCCAATCCGCAGCCAGGAGAATAAATTCCGAACTTAGTGCTGTAGATCTCGCTGTTGTAGTCCTCGTTGTTCTTGAAGGACTTGTTACCGAAGATAATCCTGTCATCAAAAGCACAGCCAACTGCGAAGGTATCACCAACAACGTCCCACTGGCCCTTGGCCCCAAAGAAAAAGAGGAGTTTTCCAAGATCGTGGATAAGTCCGACTAGCTGCATCCAGCGAGGCTTTCCTTCTTTGCGGATTGCTTCGGCGGACTGCAAGAGATGGGTCATCTGGGACTCGGAGGTGTCGGGGTCACACTCGTCGATGAACGTGTTCAGCTTTTCCATCGCCTCCCAAACAGTCATGTGTGCACGGGTCTTGTTTTTGAAATCGTTGCGAGCTTTCAAGTTGTATGCTACCGTCTGACGGGTATGTTGCTGGGCGTAGAAGTTCTTGACTTGGTCACAAGCATCGTCAAACTGACGGAATCCGGCTTTGTCTTTGGTTTTGTCGAATTCAGATGTTTCGTAAAGATTCTTTTCTCTCTGAAGGTCTGTTTTGTGGATATTCACAGCATCGATGTTGTCGGACATTGTCTCGAGGCTGATTGGGGCGGACTGGACTGCGGTGGCCATATTTGCGGACTAGTGCTCTTCTAGCTTTGTAGTTTTGTTGTGGTAAGATAGATAATCGGATGGAAATTGAATTATTTCCAAGGTTGGCCTTTTTGCTTTATCGAAGGGTCCATGGTGAGAAATTTATAGCCTGGGCTCAGCAATGTATTCGATATTTCCCGGATTTCAGTTTCCGTGGTGAAAAGGTCATTCCCAATTGAATGCTGGTTCTTTTCGTTGGGTTAGCTGGATTGCCTGAGATGACGTTGCCAGAATCCAATTTGAGCATATACCGCACATGGAAGCTAAGTCCCGTTTTGCCGCCGAAAGACCAAACACATCCAGATCACCAGTAAAAAGGTTATCATACACAGTCTATGAAACAAAATATTTTGGAACATCTAAACATTTTGGCCTCCAATGTTTTTGGATTTCTCATTTGGAGACCTACATCTTAGAAATGCAAATAAGCTTACGATCCCATAGGTAGGCGGGGTCCATCCCCGATAATGGTGGTCTCGGAGGTGTCTAAGAGTCTGGTGTTTCTCTGGAGCATTGTGGAATTCAGAGACTTCCGTTATGTTGCTGTTCAATGTGTTTTCAATTCATGGCTGATGATAGGCGAGAGCTATAGAAGCTTGGAAATGCGCTCCACACTAAAACAACCTTATATCTCGGCCTCCATTTTCCGAACCTATATAATGTAGTCAACTCACTGGCACTGACAATTTCGGACTTATCAGCGACTGGTTTGCTTGAGCATTCATTTCTCGTCTCTCGGTGCCCAGATAATGACTCCCCCGCATGGCGCTAGAAGAATTGTTAGAGCAGCTCATGGCGGAACTTGAGTCTCCCCAGCACCGAGCATGGCCAATGTTGGGCGCTTCTAGCTGTTGATGCACACCTTCGATTCTATGACTACTACAAAGACCTTCCTAAGAATGAGAATCTCCTACCCTGGTGTCTGCCCGGTCAAGTTACCAACAGCTTCCACATTCGTCATGACTGTGAAATCGTTGATTAGATGTTTTACTATATGAGACAAAACGACAATCCCGGGGTAGGATGATCGAAATGTCAAATTGCCCAACATCTTGGTACGTCATACAAACACACTGATAGGCGCAAAGACTTTGCTTGTTCCGATTGGGTAAGATGTTGGAGTAATCCGTATGGTGAAATGTATGGGTCCAATCAATGATATTCAACTCTCTGTATTTCAGTACCCACTATTCTGGCAATTTATACTATCTCCATTATATGGGCTTAGTGGGACCAATTATATGACGTGTTGGAGAAGGCTGAGTGGAGTAGTCGATGGTGATTCTTCTGTAGGGCAACAAAAGACTATACTCTATAATACTATCCAGTGTTTTGGTGCTTCGGGTACATACGACCATAGGGTGTGGAAAACAGGGCTTCCCGTCCGCTCAGCCGTACTTAAGCCACACGCCGGTGAGTTAGTAGTTGGGTGGGTGACCACCAGCGAATCCTCACTGTTGTATGTTTTTATTTTTTTTTATATCTAGATAACCTCTTGCCGCACTCTTTATTCAGCCCATTCACCTAAGCAAAAAGAAATATTACTGCATATTTAGGATTAATAAATCCTCCGGTATGCCGGTGTTACTATTCCGACATGTATTAAAACCTGGTTTATAAGGCAGAGAGACTATTTGAAATCCGGGGCTCGGCCCTCCGTAACACCGAGCTTATTCACCTTATCGGCGTATCGGTTTCGTCATTGCTTTCGACCCTAGATTGAATATAAAAGAGCCTCAAATTCGGACAAACCTCTAGAATTCCTCAAAGCATTGACCTAAATTAGCCCATTTTCTTTCACGGTCCTCAAAATGTCCTCAACCAACAACACCGCCTTCACTGCCCCGATCAACCCACCAGGCGCAACACCCGTTATCACCCTCGATCAAATCTGGAATGGCCTCCTCCTCAAGATCCGCTCCGCAGAGACATTCGTTCCAGCAGCGATCCAATCCACCAACGTCGTCAGTGACTCCGTCGACCCATCAACCGGCAACCAGGTCACCGTTCGCGAAATCCTTTTCCGCGAAACCCAACAAACAGTTCAAGAGACCGTTACAGCTTTCAAGCCTACCCGGGTAGACTTTGAGCAGCCCAGTGGCAGCAAAATCAGCAACGTGATTAGTCAAGGAGCTGGTGGGGAGCTCTACATGACGTATATCTTTGAATGGAGACACCCCGGTGTCTCGGAGGTGGAGCTGGCGGCGCTGTTCGAGAAGGAGAAGAAGATGAGCCAGATGGCAGTTGAGGGGACAATCAAGGTGTTGAGGCAATTGGTTGAGGAGAAGAAGCTTTAAAGATAAGTGGCGGAAAATCGCCGTGCTTGACGCCATCATGTATTCCATATTCGGCCCTCGATCATCTTCTCGGTGACGTCGATCCCATAATCGCCACATATTTGATGTAGTGTATTCTCAGAATAATGGGTTAACAGAGTTTTCCTTTTAATGGCCCTGGCACCAGTCATGCTAGAAGTAAGCAAAGCAGTCGTGGGTGAGTCGAATCGGTTCCTTCGAGCATGCGACCTCCATATAAATTTCGTTGGATATCCAGTCCCATATTCACCGTCATCTAGCTCCCCATGACGGAAAAAGACAACCCGTTTCTTGACACGAATTAGTCGGATGGCATGAGCCCATTCCTTGCGCGTCAGAGACAGCACATCAAGCTCCAGCTCTGTCAGTCCCTCGCACAGTCTCAGTAAATTCCAGCAGCTCTTAATATCATCCCATCCATTCCAAATTGGGTCCCGCCACTGCGGAAATGTACTACGGTGTTCCACATTTTGGTAAGCATGAATAGGCATAAACGATATCCGTCTCAGCCACGATCTCACTTGTGGACGCATAGCAGTCAAGAACCCCGTGAGGAGACAGGGATGCTCGAAGGCGAACCAGTTCTCCGTCCAGAATATCGGTGCAGCATCTTTCCAAAGTCGATTGCTGGCGAGCAGAATGGCTAGGTTATCACGCCTTCCACATAGGCATGGTAGAGACCTCATGCATGGAGTCCTCTCCCTGCTTCCGTTCAGGTCCCAGTAGCAATTGTCACAGAGATAGGCGTTTCTCTGCGGCTGCGCCCACTGGCTTCGGGCTGGTGATTGGAATATCGGGACTTGCGGCTGCTTCCAGACATAGCTATGGCAGCTTGCACATTGAGGGCCTTCTCTATTCCACGAATGTGGATCTGGACCTGGTCTTATGCGGACCAAAGGCATTTTGCATGGGGTTGAGTGGTATAGATCAAATTTGCATGGCTGCACAAACAGTTTGCGGTAAATGTTATTTCTTATCTCTTGTGGAAGGGAGAAGAATCTAGGGCTCTAATGTTAGATATAGATGGTCTGATAGGGGGTAAGAGTACATACCTTTTGAAAAGGGGGGATGCTTCGTGTTCCCCAGACTGTATGAGAGGTGTCTCTTGCACATGTTTTGCCTTTGATCTTGCCCGTCGGACGCTTTTTGGTGCAGGTAATTCTCGGCGTCGTGTATACCGACGGAGTTTGAGTTCCACGTCGGGCCCTGAAGATTTCGCCATTTATGTGCAAACTTAAGAATACGCAGATAATGAAACCGTTCAAACTTTGCTAGCTATGTATAATTATAAATTGTGTCAAATATAGTCTGTAGCCTAATATGACTCGCCAGAACACGTCACCAGTTAGCTTTCAGCCTCGTGGGGACTCGAAAGAGAAAATGATTACTGTCACACTGTGGGGCAGCCAATGCCTATATTTACAGCTTACATCGTGAAACAAGAACATGTTGCATTATGACTCATTAAAACTCTAGGGTTGTTGTTTTATTCAGGTAGAAGCCAGCGCCTTGCTCACACACACACACACACACACACCTGCGCGATCCGCTCGTCACCACATAAAGTATAAAGATTGTCGAATCAGATCACCAATTCTAATCCCTGTCATGTTCGGCGTTTAATATCATTTTCAAAATTAAGAGCACTCGGCAGCAAGCGAGGGAGCGAAATGCCGATTTACGAGAATGGTATCTGCATTATTTATCGGATTTTCAGTCGTATCAGCTAGTTTACGTAGATGAATCCGGATGTGATAAAAGGGTTGGGTTCAAGCGCATAGGCTGGTTACCACTTGGCGTGTCCCCTATGTAAGTATCACATTTTCACCGCGACCAGCGATATCAGATACTGCCTACGTATGCCTAGGAAGGAATCGTTTTCTCGCGTGTCTTCCGCGGGTCCACAGATGCCACCGTGTTCGGGGACTTCATAGCGCAGCTTCTTCGGCACTGCGGAAGATGGCCCGAACCTAAATCCGTTCTGGTTATGAATAACGCCTCGTTTCATCATGCAGAGCGCATGGCGCAGATGGGTGTGGGTGCAGGGGTAAAATTGGTCTATCTGCCACCCTACTCGCCGGATTTAAATTTGATTAAAGAGTTTTTTGCTTAGCTTAAAGCCTTTATTAAATGTAACTGGAGTTATTACGAGGTAGACCCCGATCAAGGCTTCAATGCCTTTCTTAGATGGTGTATTGATGTAGTCGGTGTAAAGAAGAGAGTGCTAGAGGTCATTTTCGGTACGTAGGCTTAAAAATCGAAGTCTCAGAAAATTACTAGGTACAGTACAGTTAAATGAAGATAACTTGCACACGCGCCTTCATGGTGTAATGACTATCTATCATGGGGTCACTCATTAAACCAAGGGTCATTAAGAACTTGTCTCGCTGACGCTCTTACAGACGGCTCAAAATGCAATAATCTTCTAACGATTTGTCCCAGCCTCACTATGTCCTCTCGTGTGAGATCGGGACTCAGCGGGCCATCAAAGTACACTTCTTCCAGCCATTCCTGCAAATTGGGCCCGGTGCTTTCTGTGGCCATGGTGTCCCCTGTCTTCATCATCGCTTTCCATTTATCTTGCCATCTTTCAGGTAGTTCGTCAGTTACCATCTCTCGCATTTGGCCAACAAGGATTGTGGGCGTTATTAAGAATGTGTCGAAAGGTGGCTGGCCCACGAACAGTTCAAAGAGCTGCTAACCTATTAGCTTGGGTTTTTACGTATTACCCGAGTATGACTTCACCCACCATACAGCCCATGCTCCACAAATCAACACGGTAATCAATGTGATCTTGAAATATAACTTCCGGTGCCCGAAGAGATAAAGGTGTATGTAGTGTTTCGGGGGGAGCAGTGTGTAAGAATGACTCTCCAAAGTCGATTATTTTGACATCCTGAGCCAGATTCCAAGAGTGATTCCCGTATGAGGCAGGTCTCACAACATATTCGGGCACGCCGGATTCCACGCATTTTCCATCGCGTTTTTGGACATAGCCAACTTCTGGTTTTCCTAGCATCTCAATAAACCTTTCTTCTGTTAAATCGTCTATGTAAGGCATAGCGAAGGCTAAATTACGGGTATGCAGATCTATACCAGGTGAGCACTGTCCAAAGTATTTCTAAGAAAGTGATTTACCTCCATGCCCAATCTTTCGTTGGTGTAAACTATCGAGTCCGATCAAACATTGTTTTACAATGGTTTTAGCGAGATTGCCAGGAAGTCTCCCATTTGGAAAGTTTGCATCAATTATGTCTGGAACGTTAGGACCTAGAAGCTCATAAACTAGGCATTTATGAGATCCATTTGGGCCCTCTAGATCGAAGTCATCGAGCATGTGCACCGTATGTTTCGGACGAGGGTGGTGAGATGCAAGTACTTTCAAGGTTTGGAGCTCTCGCGTGTCTCCATTATATTCAGTTTCTGCAACAGAAATTTTGACAGCAACATACGTCTGGTCCCTGTAAATAAGCAGCTTTTCGGTTAGCTAGAACTACCGCGAGTCACACCAGCTTGTATAACCTTTGATCTCTCGCCGCCCAAACTGTCGAGTAGCCTCCCCACCCTAGTTTATGTAACACCTTATACCTTCCAGCTTTCAAGCATTCCCCCAAAGTGACTGGGTGGTAACCGCCTTTCCGATAGCGATGAAGTGGCTCAGCATCAATGGTAGAAATATAGAGGTGCCGGTCCATCTGACTCCTGTTTGGCTGGGTAGACATTGTCCTGGAGGCAATATAAAGCGGTGAGATGCTCCTTAAGGAGATAATACGGCTTAATATTATGCATGGGATAGCCATTAGATAATGTCGCAGTTTTCCGTGTGCATTGTGTTGGGCATTGTAGTTAATCAGTCCAGATTATGTGAAGTCCTACGCGGGAAAATGATGACGTGGTAACGACTGGTATATAACAGCCAATAACATGATCTAAAAAAAGCCAGTAACTTCCCGGCGGCAAATGATTGGTTAATGATACATGACTAAAATAAATAATCGGGCGCTTATGCACCCTTATAAGATCACACTAGTTACTCATTGGAGTATAATGTTAGATCTATAGAAAAAAACCTCATGTAAGATGGCTGTCTAAAAGTAGAGTTACACAACCCTAAGAAGAACATATAAACGAACACACTACTCCTCTCCTAAGCTATATCTACGTCTATAAAAATTACTCATGCAATTCTGCTTGCTTTTCTGAACCCGCAGTTCTATACAATGACTCCTTATGGCTACCAGGGAATACAATATAGCCCATATATTAACAGGGGAAGAGCTAGATTTAGATTAGCGTGTCTCCATTTAGGGTCCGGGAATTAAATCGGAGTTTAGAGTTAAAACTGATTTCGAATTCGCTTTTCCCATCTATGATAGCGTCAAGCTTATCAAACGAATGATCTCCATTATGGTAGCCTGTCCTAGAACCCCATTTGGAAAACCATTATTGTCTGAAATTCGCTAACAAATAGCCTGGGTCTTTACCTTCAGTCTTTGTTAGGCGTGAGCCCCGTCTCAATCTTGGTGGTCCTCTTCTAGGCGCTCGCCTGGGAGAACAATAGCACGATCGAGCTTGTAAGGCAACCCACGGTGACGGCCTCGAATCATCATCACGCATACGACAATCTTGCTCAAAACAGTGAACTCTCCACAAAGAGAGGTCGAAACGGTGGGATATCCAAGACTGAGCCCAACATTGCCACTTCATCGGAATTAGTCAACGAAGAGGTAAAGATATGCATGGATAACTCACTATGCTGAAACCACTTCGAATAACACCGAGAATACAGAAAAGGCCTAGATTTGTTAGATCTGCGGTTGCAAGACTGGAGATCGGTCACATACTGGAATCGACGTATCTGCGATCTTACCGGCCTCAGCGATGCAGATGCAAAAGCAGCCGAGGAAGATGTACCACAAGTCAAAGCTCAGTTGGTTCTGAATATGGTTGATGATATAAGACCGGCCATCACTCTCGTCGACGTCAGTGTTTTTACCGTATATACCCAACGTCCTTTCTTCGTAAACGTTGGAAGCTCTTATACTAATGGCGATTGGGAAGACTGCAATATACATCATAACGACCAAGCTGAATTGCACGGCTGGGTTCACGTCTGCCAAGTTAAAAGTCGATGCACCCGTATGACGCGCTGATGCTGCTTGGAAAATAGCAGCAAGAACTCGAGGACCAGGAGCGAGATTATTAACAGCAGGATTGTTCAAGTCCAGCACAAGGATGAGAATTACATCGATTGAATTCATGAGGAACAAGATTCCGAAGAGAATCCACGTTGGCCGGCTTGGGAAAAGCAGCGTGTAGCACCGTCGCGGATGATCGAGCAGGAATCTAAGTGGGTCTTTGAGCGAAGAGGTCGGATGGCAGACTTTGGACATGGTCCAGATAATAAGTCGAAGAAGGCATGGATAACACGTATTCCCGACAAATGCAAGGAAACTCATGAGAATCATTGGGAAAGTTGCATCTTGAAATGAGATCATTGAATCTGGTGTCAGAGTGAAGCCAAGATTGTCAATCATCGTCTGAGCGGAGTAAAATCCCCTATCAAGGAACGAAATAAGTTACCATATCGTTGGTTTCAAATGGTGGAGCTCACTTACCACCAAACACTACCTTGCCCACATTCGGCAAGATAATCACGATATTTTGGATCTGCATGCAGAATCCATCCAACAAGACAGATTGCACCGAAGAGATGCAGACCAAAGAAATATCCTACCACAATCTTTAACAAGAGCTTCAGGCTTCGATATTCAATACCGCCGAGTCTTTCTCGATCCTCGGGAGACAGATTGTGAAACTGGGAGTTCCGGCCTACTGTAGCGTGTAAAGAGATATTCGGCAAATCGAGCTGCTTCGTGTCATTCTGCGTTGCTTTTTGGCTCTTTTTCTGAGTAGGGGGGTTTCCCAGAACAAACACAGACGTTGCGATGCGTTCAATGGTGCGAGGTGAATGCATGCTTCTGGTAGTTTGTCGACGAGAAACCTTTTCGGTTTGTTCTTTCATAATCTAAATTAGTGACCTTGAATTTACTCTTATTCACTTTATCAGGACTTACCATCATCATCATCAAGCCTCCCATCGATCTCAGAAAAAGAGGTGCCTGCGAAGTATATGTGAGAATATTGATGGGAAGTTTGGATTTGCTTTTCGTGCACCTCTATCACGTTTCCACGGAGGTGGGATATACAGAGCTTTGTCCTTGTCGGAAAAGGACTCGTCAGCGAAATGAATGACTTGCTTTCCCGAAATGATATTTGAGTCGGCTATAATATCGGCAGTCGCCTCCAATTCCTGGAAAACTCTGGTGCATAAGTCAGTACTATATCATAGAGCTTTTTTTCGATCTATGACGCTGGAACCAACCTTGGAGCTTTTTCGGGGGCCTCACCACGACCCTTAGCCTCTTCCAAGCTATCTGTTCTGTGATCTCTAAATGGATCGCTTGGGGCTTCATCAACAGTGCTGCGCGAATTGCTTTCATGCTTGAATTGCGCCTCTGCATCTTGTCCAGGAAGCGTCTCGGGCCTCACAAGATGGGGGGCTATAATTGGGGAGACATATTAGTATTTGATAGTACTTAAGAAGGGAGCTGCCCACCAGTTGCTTTGAGATGATTTTCGAACCATCGAACCCGAAAAACAACCACAATTATATTGATGAATCCCAAATTTCCAAGAATCGGAATGAGATATATATACACTTGTTGGTAGGTCTTCAAATCTTTGACATCGACACTACCCATGAGGTCCATGTTTAGCTTGATATCGAAGAGGAAAGTGGAAAAATGGTAACTTACGTATTCAGACCTGACTCGGTCGATGCGCTGGCACCGAAGAAATAGGCATCGATGGCTTTCAGGTTACCGTAAGGGTAGATTATGATCAAGCTCAGAATGCTGAGGGTGATAATCCACGCATCTAATAAAAATTAGAGATATATTTAAATTTGATGCAACTGTGGACGTACAATGCAGGGTGAGAAAGTTAATCGACTTCCACATGGTACCGAACTTGCATATTGAAGGATTTGGGGGCAAAATACATGATACATATAGTAGGCTATCGTGATTTCAATAATTGTCGCAACATTAAATTGTATAAGAATTTGCTTGAGGGATTTTGCCTGGCAAATCGTGTGGATGCTGCTTGCGGCGTGTCAGATTTCCCCATAGCCAATCCGAACGAGCACATTCACCGAGGTGCCCGCAGCCACGCTAAGACCATCCATCTTCAGTTAGGCTTGATCGATTAATCTCTCTTTGATCTTTGGGTATGGCGCAGAAAAATCCCGCATATTAGAGTAAGACTAAACGCTAGAAAGGCGGGAAGAGAGATGTTGGAAGAAATAAGAAAAAGTAGAAACGTAACAAGTTTACAGTCAGACTATAAGGAAATATTGCACGAACCATTAATCTAAGCTTATTTTATTCAGGCAGGAACCAGCACCTTTCCCTCAGACACACTAACAGCAGTGCCTGTCAGCACAACCTGTTCGATCCTCTTGTCGCCATCCAAAGTCACTCCAACACCAATATCGCTCCGGCGTCCCATTTCCACCCCCTGCACAACATGGTACTGATAATTCTGACCAGACTTGCCCTCCGTAAGCGTCAAGTATGCTGCCAGCCCACTAGCCGAACTGCCAGTAGCCGAATCTTCCAGAGTGCCCAGCATCATCCTGGACCGAATAACCTTCTTCGTGGTGACACTATCCTCAACATCCCGAACAATGAAGTACACACAGATCAACCCAGTCCTCCACCCTTCATCAAGATAATCAGCAGAAACCAGCTCACCACCGGTCGCAGGTGTAACGGCAGCTAGCGCCTCAAGCGAAGGAAGCTCAACAAACAATTGACTCATCCCATTGACAATCGAAAAGAGCGGGAAAGTAATATCCGGCCGCGTAAAGAACGGTGCCAGCGTCGGGTGCAGCCTCACTACCTCCTTCAAGTCTACCTGTGCAGCATGGATGCGTGTGTTGTGTGCAATCTGCGCAGCGACGTAGTTGGTCTCGCGATTCTGGACGGAGATGGGGATATCGCCGGACTTGGTTACGAGGGTGGTTACGCCATTGCCATCTGTGGGGTCGGTTGAATGGCTCAGGAACCAGGAGGCTGCGCCAATGGTGGGATGGCCTGCGAAGGGGATTTCGCAGTCTGTGGTGAAGATATCGATGGTGCGCTTGCCTCTCTCGCGCACTGGATGGACGAAGATACTCTCCGATAGATTGAATTCCCGTGCGATGGTTTGCTTCTGGCTCTGGGTTAGAGCGGAGTCGTCTGGGAGGAACACTACTGCTAGCGGATTCCCAGAGTAAGGTGTCGATGTGAAGACATCAAGGGTGACGAATTTGAGGTGAGTCATGTTGTAATATTGGATGTTACGGATGTCAATGGGAATGTCGGGTGGTTTTTATACTTGTCCTCCCACTTTTCCCTTTGACTCACTAAAATTCACACTTTGTACACTTGAGATGTCCCTAGAATAATTATATCATTCAGAGTCATTTCATAGACTATACTCGCGGGAGAACAAAATCCTCTGGCATACCCTTCCTACTCACCCATTCCTTCAGTCCCTCAATCAACGCTCTACTAAAGCCCGGGTCATACTTCAATCCATCATCCCCAGAACTAATTCTTCCCCTCCATAATGCCCAGTTCTCGATCATAACCCCCTCCGGCGCACGCAAAATACCAACCGCCACATCAACTATTCCCGGCCGGTCGGTACAGCTGTAAAAAACTGTCGCGCCACATGTCCCACAGAATGTCCGTAGTACCTCTTCACTAGACTTGTAACTTTTCGACGTCCCGATAATCAGATCTCCCGGGGGAGAGGGGGATAAATGATCAACCGGAACAAACAACCAAGCTATAACATTTGATCCATCAACCAGGCGACAGTCATCACAGAGATCAAAAAGCGCAAGCCACTTGCTCGTGTCTCTTGACAAAACCCATCCCTTGCTTGCAGCACTAGCGAGGAATTCCTTTCTAGGGCGGGCGATAGAGAACGAAACGCCACCGCAGTGACATTCAGCGCACAATTCCTCGTTTTTGACTGTATCCATCCGGATACTATCTCCTGCCTTGCCAACATCCAGTGACGTCTCCGTGTTAAAGACATCAAGCTGGTGGCCATCAATATGCGAGAACATCGCCGAAACCCCTCCATCAAGCGAGGAGTTTGTAAAAGCATGTGAGCGCATCTCCCATATACCATGGTTTGGCTCGGTGAAGATAGCCGTAGATATCACCCAGCTCCCGTCATCGTGTGATCTATCCCCAATATGGCAGCCACAGGTACTGCAGAAATGCCGCGTTCCTTGGGACTCGGCGTGGTTGTAGGGTGTCAATTTGTCTATGCTGGATGGAGCAATAAAACTCGGCGCTACACCTGCAGGTAGCGGGGCATGGAAAATACATGGTGTTCCATGGGTGTAGCGACAGATGCTGCAATGGCATATGTGGACTTTGAGGGGGAGGGCGTCTGCGGGAATTGTTATGGTGAAGTGAGTGCTTTGACAGTGGCACGCTGCTGTGAGAGTCTTGATATCAACCATGTCAGGAGTGGGTAAGAAAAGATTCTATGAATGGGTTTCTTGGAGCAGATGTCAAGTGTGGGGAAGCTCGTATTTTTGTGTTGAATGCTTTGATGGTCATTCAAGCACGGGCCTTGGCTTTGGTGACTGGGCAAGGAAATATTAAATTTGTTCTCATTGAACTTAGGTATCCCTTTACAATTCCTTTTTCATCTCAATGCCAAACGCCTCATCAGGTCATAAAATATATCACAAACATTGAAGTGAACCCGCTATTCAGAGTCACTCTCAATCACAAATCCACCGCGCATACGTCTCCGGGCTGGAGCCACAGGCACATCTTCCTCGTCGTCATCTATAACCTCAGGCTCTGTAGCTTGGAGCTTACTCGGACGATCTCGAGTGAAGGCAAAATCATCATCAAAAGCAAGGTCATCCTCATCGGATATGAGAGGGCTGTCTTCATCCTCTCCGGCGCCATGGCTGGTGGGGATCTCCTGCTGGGAGTGTGACGATTGAGCGTCAAGTTCCGCCATGAGAATATCACTATCAGCATCACTCTCGGCGCCACTAGCAGCAGAACCAGAATCACGACGCTGTCGCTTCGATTTTGCGGCCGCAGATGTGCCAGTGTCGCTAGTTCGCTTGCGGGCGGCAGACTTCTTCCCTTTGCCCTTGCCTGATGGTTCAACGGCTCCAGTGAGCAGGGCCTTCTTGACTTCTTTTGCCTGTCTATTTCGCCGCTCTTCTTCGAGTCGGAAGAACTCTTTGTCGGCTTCTTCGTCTGTTTCTTCGTCGCTGGCATGGATGAACAAATCACTCTTAATCTTCGCTTGGCGAGCAAGTGCGTTTGATAGGCGCGCATCGCGCCGCGCTTCTATGGTTTCGTCGTCTAGCGGCTCGCTCTCGGCGTTGGCCTTCTTCTGCTTCTTCTTACGTTTCTTTTTGAGGTCATCTAGCGCACTAGACTTTGACCGCAGATTCGCCGGGAACAAAGGACCATCTGGAATGTCCTCGCCTTCGGACTCCGATCCGAAGTTGACATCAAGCGTTTGAATGTTGTCACGACCGCTTCCTTTGTTCTTTGGTTGGATCTTTCTGCGGGGATCATCATTGTCATCTCCGGAGAACGGGGTTTGAAGGGCTTTCAAAATTTCAGAGACTGTTTCACGCAAGTCGTCGGACTTGAGAGAGGCCGGAACGACCCAAGAAGCACCAAGCACATCTTCAACCCCGAGTCGCTCGAATCCGACGACGGTCATGAGCAGACGTAGTTTTGCGTTAGAGAACATGGCATTCTGAACGAACTCGTTCTTGCCTTTGACCGCTGTTTTGTTGTTAGTATCAATTGAGAATCGGGTGTTGGGAGAACATACTAATCATCGGATTGGGAACGTTGATGGTCTCGGGATTCTCGGCGCGACGGACTTCTTCTTGGGTTTCCCAGTCCTCTCTTTCGGAGGCTGCGGAGCTCAGGACATCCTTGATCCATTGTACCAAATCTGCTCTACCATCGAGAACAAGAGCGCCAACCACGATGTGGAGCTTCGCTTCCTTTGTCGTCGCCTCCATCGATGTAACAACAAGCTCCGGCGGGGGACGTTTATAACTGGAGATCGTTTGCTTTTCGTGTCCATATTCAAGATAGTAGACAGTGGAGTTGATCTTGCTGAACAGTAGTTCAGTTATCAAGGCTGGGCGCTGGTCAAGCTTCTTAACCAGTCGTCGAATGATTTGCCGGACCAATTCCTCCCATTCCTTGAATACAGACTTGCTCGAGTCCATGGGGCTGGGGCCTTTGATCATTCGATAGAAAAGACTGATAATATCCACACGAAACAGCAAGACAGTCATCTCCTGCTTGAATGCAATCCGGTAGAAATAGCGGTGGGCGCGTTTGAGCTGCTCAGAATTAAGCTCTCGATAGAAAGCCGTGAATGCAATAAAGGTATCCACGCAGTTTTGATTGCAGAACTTGGCTGAGAATCGCTTAAAGTCAAAGCTGCGTTCCTTGGTGACCTGGGCGGCTTCTTCCATGTCTTCATCTTCAGAGTCACGCTCCTCGTCGTCCCCTCCCTCTTGCTCGGCGGCTTGGGCAGCCTTCTTTTGCCTTTTGGCCTTTCGCCGCGAGCGGATTTGCATGTCGGCGTTGTCTTTGGAATACCGTTCCAACATACGCAGGAACACATGTGCTAACTCTGTGCAGGCATCCAAATAGCCAAACCCTTGGTCTTTGTATCCGCGCACAATAGTAAGGATCCGGTCATGGGTTGTTTCTTCGTAGAAGATTCGGTTTTGGATATTCTCTGCAATTTCCTGATCTTCTTCGAGCGGGGACACTGCCATTTCTTGGACAGTCAACAAAATCTGGGTGAAGCAGCGCATCTGGGCATTGAGGTCTTCCCATTCCTTGTTATCCAGGCTACTCTGCATAGCGCGGTTCAGAGAAATGAAGGTCTCTTGGTTCAGGACACCGGCAACCAGACCATAGCTATCGGGTTCGATATCTTTAGTTCTTCCTCCATTCTGAGCCGTGCGATGGCGGAGCTGTCGACTCCGTCGTACACGCTCTGCTTCCAGAAACCAACCGACTGTGTAGAAGAACTGGCGGTTATTGATTCCTACCACACGTTCGGCTTCACGCTCGATTGCTTTTCGCACATGGGTGAATAGAGGATTGAACCCGGAATCCAGAAACTCCTCCACGAAAGTCCTCAGGTTCCGGGTTGCCTCGGAATTAAGGTGAGCTGGCATGTTGAAGTTACTGTTTTGGATCTCATCTTCTTGTCTGCGACGAGGCCGAGGCTTATTCCACTTTTTGCTCTCGTCCATCTTTTGTAGTGTGGTCTGGTCGTCGCGCAACACACCTTGTCCAGAGACAGTAGACACCTTCGCATCGTCTCGCTTGACCCAGATCATTGTACCGAATCTTCCATGGCGTGTAGGCGCATTCTTTGCGTATTCCCTCCGCACTAATGATTCCTTTTTCAGTAGATCGCTGAGTTCGTCGGTTCGCTTGGCCGTTCTCTGCTCGTCGTCCATGAACAACTTCTCGACGTTGATGCCCTTGACGATATGAAAAAGTGTCTCCATCAGAGGAATATCTTGTAGGTTGAAGTCTTCGCCGACATTAGAGCACATAGTCAGGAGAAGTGCAAATGCATCTTGCTCATGGAAAGCGTTGATTGTCGCCGATCTGGATGTCTCTTCCTCGTCACCTTCTGCCGCAAGCCGGGTATTAGGGGATATGATCGCAATGTTTCGCAGCAAATACAACATCAACTTGAGGATTCCTTCGTCTCGGGCCCCGCGTTCGGATCGAGGGATCGCCATGCTTGGAAGACCAATTCGAATGACAGCGCGAAGTAGATTCAATCCGCCAGATCTGAGGATACCTCGCTTGTATTGTACCTGTGTCTGTTGGATGTAGGGGGTATGACGATGGTGGTTGACTGTCATCTGGCTGTGAAACTCCACGGGCCATGTCAAGGGAACGAGAAGCTCCAAGCACGCCAGTGCAATCCTGGTCATATGCTTGTTGTTCTGTCCAGTAGCCCACCAGACAGAGATGATCGGAAGCAGATCACCATTGATCACGTTGGCCTCTCCAAGGCACCGCGCAACGTCCATCCGGTTATTCTTTTCGTCGTACAGTTTCAACCAGCGTTTGATATCGCGTAAACATGCCAGTGCATCATCTCCGAGCACATATTGGTCGGCATTTTCGCCATTGAACCCACCGAGCTAAATAACCAAGCGTATCAGTGAATTGACCCAGAGCCAGGCAAAGGAGAAAGTGGAAATGAAACCTACAGCAGTAACCAGGCCGTAAACATAGTTACGCACGTCTGGGTCCACAACTTGCACGTCGTGTCCTAGAGGGACAACCTCTTCATCCATGGTGGGCTGATTTGATACCCCATTAATTTGCTTCCCGAATCGAGTTGAATGGGGAACGCGTCGACGCGTGCTCGGCTTCGGCGATTCGGAGAAACTGGATGCCGCCAAAGTGCCGAAGATAACCGATAATCTTACGCCGCGCACTAACGGCCACTACGGCAATATCTGGCAGAATGTCGGATCTATAGATCTGGTAGAGGTAATCCTTTTGAAGTTCAAATGTTCTTTACAGATGCCCATTACGCTAAATAAACCTTAGGAATAATGCATAATATTCCAATGGTTTAATCAAGTGCTCTATCGCTTGATCGACAAGCAATCATGATCATTTTCGATCTATCACCTGGAATCCCTTTGGACTTGAATGCCAGCCCAGAAGATCTCAAATGTATCCGATGTTCTCAAGAAAATGACCTAGATATTGTAAGATATAAGGTCTCTCATTAGACTTTCTCAAAATCTCTTCCAAGATTATCGGTTTCTGGAGTACTTGAGCTTCGGGCTTCAACATTCCCCTTTCGACCCTTCTTCTGGATGTTATACAGCAGCAGTCCCATAACTTCTACTCAAACATTACCATCACCGGCTCCACTGCATAGCTGTTGGTCTATGATATTACGCCTGAGGTCAAAGTAATCCGATAGACAACACATGGTGGTCAATGTATAAGGCGGTGAGATATATGTTTGGATGGCCACCGTCGAATGCCATCCAATGACGTCCGAAAGCACGTGAAGTCTAGCAGTATACTGAGTTGATTCCTCGCACTTACTTTCTTCACTCCTTTTGTTCAATTTTCCCATAGCTCCAGAAATCACTACAGTCATGCTTACCTCTACTCTTCGCATGGTTTCCCTTCGCAGGTGCCCTGCAGTGGGCCGGAACTTCTGCTCAACATCTGGAGTCCGCGCAGCCGAGGTCAAGTCATTGGGCGTTATCGGTGCGGGCCAAATGGTGTGTAACACGAAATATACCACCACGCTGCAAATCTAACTCTTTCCAGGGCTTGGGGATTGCGCTCGTCGCTGCCCAGAAGGCAAAGGTCCCGGTGACTCTTGTTGACACGTCGCAAGCCTCTTTGGATAAGGGCCTCAAGTTTGCCGGTACGCCGAGCTCCAGTT